AAGCAAATGTAGTTGAGAATTTTTCAGATGGAGGAGATGTGATGTTCACCATGGTATCTGAGATAGAATCTAGGCCTGACGAGGAGTGGATTCTCGATTCGACATGTTCGCATCATATGTATTCTAATCGGAATTTCTTTCAGACATATGAGGCTATTCAGCAAGGTGGAGTTGTAATGGGAAACAACCAATCTTGCTGTATTGCTGGAATCGGTCAAATCAAATTTAGGCTACAGGATGGGATAATCAAAACAATTGATCATATTCGAGATGTTCCAGACCTTAAAAGGAATCTCATCTCACTTAGTACTCTGGATGCAAAAGGGTATAAATTATATGGTGGAGTGGAGTTTTGAAGGCTCGAATGGTGTCCAGTTTGTATTTGAGGGACGGAAGAAGTCTCAATTGTACATCTTGCTGGAAAGTGTAAAATCAGTTAAGAGACATCGGGACAAGTTCAGTACAGTGGTTGATATTCAATTTGGCACAATACCTTTTGTGACGGCTCTAAGTCGATTGAGAACATTGTTCAGGGAAGCATTGGTGATTCCACTTTGCCACAAATTTCATCAGATACACTGTGTTCATTTGCTAAGGTTGGACTCATGGAGCATAGGTACCATGGTGTCAATAATGTTTGTGATGCTTTTGGGGACGTTGAAGGCGATAGTTATAATAAGGGCCCTTCTAATCTAGCATATGGTATGATTTCTACTATAGGGTGTGCTTCGGCCCTGTTTAGTCAACAGTAATTCCTCGATGGAATTTTGCGAACCTAGGATTTGGGTTCAGGTGTCGCTTGTAGACACCTTGCAGAGGACGATGGTTTGATTTAGAGAGTTTTGATTACTGTGTTGAGGAGATTGACTATTTCGATGCAGACGAATTTGAAATCTTTGAGTTTCATTCGCTGCACCAAAATTTGGGTCAATGTGGAAATTGTTGGGTTTGTGACCCAAATTAGGGTGGATTTTTTTTTTTTTTTGAAATAAATTGTTTTCTTATTTTCACGTGAAAAAATTTGTTTCCTTATATTTTATGTGATTTTTAGGGAAATATATTATTTATTTATTTATTTCACATTATTTTTATCTTTATGCTATACCATGTACCTATAAATAATGGTCTTCCCTTTCAATTTTGTTCAAGCAAAATTGCTGTGCTGTAATATTTTCTCCATATTGTCGTTATAATAAAATATCGTTCATATACTTTAACTCTCCTTTGGGATCAACATATTCATGCATGTTCTGAAGGTAATGATGACCGATGAAAAGAACTATTTACCGATCAAGTCTACATACAGTGGTGGAAATTTTACGGGCTTTGACAATATGTAAAAATTGTTTTTAAGTAATTGCATCTACATAAAAATCATGCTGTTGAAGCAAGCTCTGAAGATCTCCATTGCTTAAAAATGTTCGAAATCAGGGATTCCTGGGAATGACAGAAATGGCCAGGTTGCTGGAAATTCAATGACAAATTGGAATAATGCTGGAAAATTTTCTGTCCAAGCTCCCTATCATTTCTTTAGGCCGAAGGGGGAGGTAAGGTGCTGGACTAGGGAGGCTTGGAGACCATTTATCACCTCAAAACATGCTTTTATCCTATCCTTTGTAATCAGTCGAAACTAATTACAAAGGATAGGTTGCCATACCTTAACATTGACAAAAATTGTGCTTTTTGTGGGTCACATTTTGAAAATGGATAACATCTATTTTTTTAATGTTCATTCACATCTAATATATGGATGAAGATTAAAGATTGGATGGGGATTAGGAGATCGATGACTACAATTCTGAGTGCTTTGAAATGGATAAAAAAGGAGGTCCAAGGAACATCTTGGCAAAGTAAGTAAAAAAAATTGTGCTTGCAAGCACCATTTACTATATTTGGATGGCACGAAATAGAAAGATTTTTAAGAATCTTTGCCCACAAGTAGATAGCATTGTAAGATTTATTAAAACACACGTGTACAATGTTATATTTGCTTTGTACCCGCATGTTTTGATACATTATGAATCGTTGATTTTGGGACTATAGTTCTTATTGTTTGTACATCTTTTCTTTGGATTGTTCGGGTATGCTCAAAGTAGTTATATTTTACTTCTTGTCTGATTGCTCGTACACAATTTTGATCAATAAAATTTTACATTTATTTAAAAAAAAAAATAAAAAAAATAAAAAAAATAAAAAGGATCTTGAGATCCTTCCCCCCACCCCACACATGCAAGTCTCAGGAAGATTGGCTGAAATTGCTTCTCTCAAGAATTTGCCTGGAAGAATCTTAATTCTCATCGGTTCTCTCTAAATTATCCCCCGTGTGTCATTGATGAAGATGCTCCGTTCTCGAACGAGGGGGTAATCTGGTCGGAAATATATTGGAAGGGAATAGAGAGAACCTACGAGTTGTTGCAGGTTTGGAGCTTCAGGGAACCTACGAGTTGTTAGGTTTGGAGCTTCAAGGATCTGTGGATGTGCCTGAAATTGCTCAACGAAGTCTTTGTGTAGAAGTGGATCGACAGACTCACGTGTAAAGATTGTAATTGTCTCGTCTGTTATCATTGGGATTCATAGATTGTCACCATTGGTACTTACCTGCTTTGTACTCGATATGCTTGCTTCAACCTCAATGTGATTGACACCAAATTAAGGAGAGACAGCAATAGACTCGGAGAGTTTTAAACATGCAAAATTCTCTGCTTTCCCAGGATAAATCCAGACTCTCATCTCTCGTGAGACTGCTGATTCTGTTTCAAGAAAGGATTAAAACATCTCAAGATGTTTCATAGATTGGAGTCATTAGACGAGGTGTAAAACATTCTATTACTCCAAACTGACAAAACAGGAGAAAAACAAAATCCTTCAACTCTAACCTTCATTACTCTGCCAATTACAACTGCCTGATGATTCAATAAAAGTTGGACTGTGAGGTTATGATGTATATCAATAAGAAAAAAAAAGATTGCTTTACAATTTCTATTAATATGACCGATCACTTCTCTCTCTTCACAACCAAAAAACTATAGCCCCAAAAAAGCACCTTCTTCAACACTGATTCCCTGAATCATATGGATATGAATGCTTCTTGTGATTCATGAATTGGATAACAGAGAATTTAGATCGTCAAGTTTTCTTGAATGGCAATGAATGAGCCCACTATACTTCCTCCAACATCAGGAAAAGTCTCACATCCATTCAGGGGCTTCACTTTGCCCTTCCTATCAACTTCAACTGGATACTTCAGAAGGTGTCCTCTCATTTCCGAGATCTCATTAGATTTAAATTGCTTCCAGTTTGCCTCACCCATTGATCTAACCTTTCGGACGCATTCTACAGACTCTGGCCGGGTATAGCAGTCCTCTAAAACTCCAAGATGCTCAGCCCAAAGAGACATTCTATATCCATATATCTACATATATTCATTTCAAAATGAGGTTCAGATAGTGAAATTCAGAGAAAAAAAATGTAGAAACATTTATATATGGACTTCTTCAAGGGAAGTCGAATCATTTGCTTTATGAAAAAAGTGCTTTATGAAAAAGGCATTTGAAAAATTAAGCATTTCAATTTTTCACGTTTTGAGACATGGTCGGTCACATAGGATGAAGTACTAGGATTGAATTCTCTGTCATTCTTGTTTTGAGAATTGAAGATCTAAAAAAAAATTTTTGGTAGGTTGAAGATCGTAAAAATTTGGATAGCCTATTTTTTGAGAGAAGGGAATATGCCCAGGCTTCCTCTTATTATGGCCAACATATCTAGGTGGATTAGTGTCTTATGTTAAAATGTTTCAGTTCATGGAAAGCATTTGAAGATCTCAGTTTATATCCCTTGGTTGATCTGCGTAACCTACTGATATTTAAATTAAGCAGCACCATTTTTGAAATATACTTTAGTTACCTGTCCATGTGGACTCGATAGTTTTCTTGCCCATGTGTGATGAGGTTGATAGGCCCCCATAGCAATCTCTGTGTCCCTAGTACCCTCCAAGGACCGTTCATTGATATTTGCAGACCCCAATATCACATACTCATCATCTACTATCATTCCTTTTGAATGGACATATATCATGAATCTTCTGTATTTCCGACTGAATCCCTGAAACAAAAATGTTACAGAAACTTGCATATATATTGACACAGAAAATCTCAAATGATAAAATACCTCAAAAGCAAGCAAATTTAAGAGCCCAAATAAGCATCCATATTTACAATTTGTATTAGACAACATAAAAATACAGCTGATCTGGATAAAATTCTCGTACGTAGTTTGTTCTGTTCTACCCAAATTATAGAACAAACAAAATTGTTTCCGAGACTACAAGATTGAAGAGTAATCAGGATTCTTAATAAGTATATGCCTATATATATCACCCAGAAAACATTATACCTGAGGACTGTTTGTTGCATTGTGACTCTCGGTTGGTTTACCAACATCAAGAGCCTCACGATTGCCAAGACAGTAGAAGTTCAAATAATCTTGTGGTGAGTACGCATCCTCAAGTCCTACCTCTACCAAAGCCTTGTAAATGGTCTCGTACATCATTTGCATTGTTTTATTCTAGAATATTGGCCAAAAAAAGATAAATAAATAAAATAAATAAATAAAAAACATGTTAATAATACCTAATAATGAGATAACTTTAAGAATTATATGCTTGTTATTAGATAGCTAATTGTTTTCTATTATATCAGTAGTGAATTCATTTGAAAAATAAATTGCAATCACTCTGAACTCCAAAGACTCTTGATCGTATGCTTTAAAGCGTGTTCTAGTATGTGATGGAAAATGAATGGATGATGTAACTTTGAAATTTATTGAATGCAACAAGCAATTAGAGCACACCTGCCAAAACAAAATTCTTTGTGTAGCAGCACCTGTTGGATTACCCTCTGGCCACATTGGAATGACAATATATGCTGCAAACCTCTCATGTGCTCTTATTTTGTCGGCGATTTTGAGGGCAATTTCCATTGGAATCAAATTATTAGCACCTGCAGAAAATAGATTTTTTTTTTTCATGTTTGCCCATGGGGGAGTAATCTAAAGAATATGCCAACACAAGTCACCATCTTTAGATGGGCAGTTAAATTGTCACCATAGATGACAAAATCATCAAAACCCAGGAGGAGTTGGGTCCACAAGATAAAAGTACACATATGTATAATAGGTCATACATGCTTCAACAATGAAACAGTCTGACATGTAGTAAAATAAACAACCTGCTCTCTTCATATATTATTAATTAAAATACAACGTGACAACTGTTCCTTACCAAGATCCTTATATTGATTCCAGTTGTATGAGGACCCAATGAAGTACTGATTTTCAATATAAATGAAATGTTGAGCAGCACGGATGGCCTTTACATATGCTGTATGTATGCTCATATCTATAAGTACATTCTTCCCACAAACCAAGTTCTGTTGCATAAAAACATGATTAATTTTTAGAGAGGCAGTTGTAAACCGATAACTTTCAGAGCAAAGAGTGTTACTTAAATTAGCTCACCCTTAATGTAGCCTCTTTAGGATCCTTTGGGAAGTCTTTGACAGAATTTGAATCTATTGAACGAAACACCTGCACAAAAGAATAGTACAGACAATTAGCACATTGTCCATCCAATGCAACTTTGCAATCCCAACAATTCCATGATAGTCATATTTCAAAATCACGTATGGTTATTTCCCTATAAATTTGGTGCATAAATAGTGTAGAACCTTTCCTTTCGTGGTTACTAGTAACCCTATAAATTGGGTCTTCCTCTCTGTAATTATGAGAGAGCAATTATGCTAGTTACATAATTTAGTTCAGTCTTTGGGTCACGTTCTATTCATAGTTTCTAATGCTTTGAATTCAAACAACTCCTTGGCACCAGTTTACCTGAACATGCCAACCTTCAGGATCATCATCTTTTACACAAGGAGCATCAGAAATTCCTAGTATTTCGGGTATTCTTTCTATTCGGAGCAAAGCATCATCATATGCCATCTTCAATTTTTTTATCCCATGGGGCTTTGAAGCCTTCAACCATCGTTCCTCGAAATTGGTCAGAACATCATATGCTGCTGGGCCATCGATTTTACAGTGCAAGTCATGCCATGGTTCTCTTGGACAACCAGAAACATTACCCTGTAAGGGAACAAAATTGTATTTAAAACAACATTGAACTATTGTACAAAATGATGTGCATAACGACAAAATTGTGGACGAAAAATAATTACCGTATAAGTGGGGTTGCGATAGTCATCAGAGTGCCAAGTATGCAGTGTTCTAAATAAAGAATGCTGAGGAGTATCATATCGGCCATCACACAAGTCTAGCCCTCCAAGAAATGAAATGATTTTTCTTCGATTATTTCCAGCATCAGTATCCACTATCACAGTTTTCTGATGGTGGGTGTAAATGGCTTCAACTTCCTAATCATTAAAAAGTTAGACACTAGTACAACTAAAGATTCATTTTCACATTCAGAAACTGTATTAGATAAAACGTAAAAGATCGGAACATAGAAAGGAAAGCATAAAAAGGGAAAAAGGCAAATTTCCTTAGCAGTTTGTATTTAAGATATGCTTTTCATTTCTTGCCATCACCGAGATACTAATAAATGGGGATTTCAGGAATATTTTTACAAATGATGTGCTACTCCATACACGGTTAATGAACTATGAAATGCCATAATAGCCATAATAAAAAAATTGGCAAACATGTGTATATCCAAAAAATTTCTAAACAAGAAATTGATTGGAAACAACTTAGGAAATAACTGCAAAACCTGATAATCACTGATCAAAACTTCAGAAGGCAGTTTCTATCCCCAAAAATATGATCTTCTGAGCTCATGTGGTATTTGCACATATATACAATTCATCACCCCATTTTTGCATCAACTCTATAGGGGCATCCTAATCAATTGTAATGTTGCATTTTGGAATTGTTCATGCATTTTAGTAGAAGATTTCTGTTAGATAAGGGATGAGAAATTACAATAACATACACTTATAGCAGGACATATGATTCAAAATCCACCAGCGAGAATAGATAAGACACCCAAGACTTGACGTGTGCCAATGATGGATATCAACTAGGTGCCAGACCCATCATCGAGGCTAAATGTGACTTGAATAGTACTTGTAAAATATTTAACAAAGTTCCAGCAGCATCTCCTCCCTTAATATGGACTAAACCAACTTGAAATAACACGCGAAATGCCCAAACAAAATGTATGAAAATGATAGGGGACCAACTGTCCCCTCCAATACTCATAAGTTCTTAATAAAATATAGTTAAAACAGGCGTTTCCAATTTCTCTTACCAAAATAGCCCAAACAATACATAAACTTACATAAGATGCAGCGAGCCAATCTGACAATAGACATGTGATATAAAAGGATTATCCAAAAGTACAATGAACATGTATCCCAAAATAATGAACAGTTAACATACCCTCTGCTTCATCCAGCTGTGACGCTTCCCAGCTGCTCGAGGACAAAGCAGCACTTGCACAGAAGAATGTTTGAAGAAACGACGAGTTTCTTCATCGTGAGTTTGCATGACTCCATCCTACATATAAGTTTTAATAAGAATATCATTTTTAAAACTGAAAAATGAACATAGTTAGTGAAGAATAAACATTTTCAATCACATAATAATAGACTCTAGGATCTATATACACATTCAAGGTAAATATGCCTCTAAAGTTCCCATAAAAACTACGAACGAAAATCATAATTGAACAGCAATGGAGACAATAAATTCTACAAGGATGCTGTCAATTCGTAAGTTTAAGAGGTTCTTTCTTTATTTTCTTTCCTTTTTACTTTCAATAAATAGCCATGGAAGGTTTTAATTTAACAGTTAACTAAATCAAATTCAATTGGACAAGCACCGGAAAACTAAACTTGTCTTCAGGACCATTTGACTGCAAAAGAAATATGTCCTAAAGCATTTCTATACTTGCTCCAATGGGTATCCCTGTATTGCCCAAAGACATTTGTATCTTAAATAGCAAATACGACCTCAATCTCTTGGAGATATGTAGACAAACATTAAAAATAGATAAAGATTCTGATAAATCTCTATTAATCCCCAGGCATGCATCTTGATAATATAGATATTCACCCATTTACTACAAGATAAATGCTTACTGTTTTGTACCCAAGTATGCTTCTTGATGTAGGATCATCCCATACGAGAAGCAGCACCCTCACTCCTTCCCGTGACTTTGACTTCAGAAGTTCTCCCAGAGTGCAACCTGACACAGAATTATCGTCCCTAACTAGTCTAACGTTGTGCCACACTGACCATCCAGCAATATAAATCAAAAATCGAGCTTGACATATTGCATTAAAGATTTCCCGCCAGCATTTCCCGTGCACATATTTCATCCCATTATCAAGCTTCAAATTTGGGAGGAATCCATCAGGTACGTGAGCATCCTGATAGAGGGTGACAATTCCGCCTCTCCTAAGCGGAAAATACGTCCCAGGAACTCCATTATAATCAGGACCGGCTCCAATTCCATGGTGGTAAATGCTCAATTGCTCCATAGGAGTATAACAAATTGAGAGACTCAAAACAGCTCCAGACTTGCAAGGTTTCCCATTATTACCAAGGACAGGAAAGAACCCTGTAATTTTTGTGCCTCCATATAAATGCTCTACAGGAATAGAGACTGTCCCTATAAGCTGTGATCCCACAACATCGTCATCCTTGACAACAAGGAGCACTTCAGCAGCGTAATGAGCAACAGGAAGATTGAAATGTTGCTTCCATACAGGATTTTCATTATTTGTTATCACGTAAGTCCTTCCGATTGTAGCACCTGCTACAGTGATGGAGACATAAGGATCACTTGTAATCTTACGGTTTATTTGCCCTTCAATCTTGCTGCTCATATTCCCTGGTAATCTGTTAAACATGTCTCCTATAGTTTTGTGAAACATATCCATGTTTGGAAGGTTTTTTGCTTCATAGACCCAAATATCTAAATTTCCATGCAAGAGCAAAACTTTCAAAGACAGTTTATTAGATGGAACAAGCATAACCTGCATACTCTCACCGTGGGATGAATCAGCATTCGAGGTCAAATGCGGCAAAGTAGGATGGGAAGGGGACTCTTCCCAGCCCATAGAAGATGCCTCCGAACTTGAAAAGGAGGTATTAGGATATCCATACATAGTACCATTCCCATTATGCATTTTAGCTGGTAGTCCAGATTGAGGGGAAATAGGCACTGATGAGGATGAAGGGGAGGCAAGGGCAGAAGCCATATGGTGACTATCAGACAAGTGCACATTTGCCATGAGATTGTCGATGGGTGGGTAAAGTGGAGGGTAACTAGGGGAACTATCATCAAGACGATCATAATTCACTTTAGAACCACCCACGGACAATGAACTATCTTGGTAATCGTGGTGGATGGAGTATTCACTGCTAAATCTAGGTGGAGTCTCAGACTGGTTATCCAGAGGCTGGAATTCTGCGGAATACTGATGGTGGTGGTGATAATGGGATGAACCATATTGGAAACTACCAAATGTTTGGACGGTAGACTGAAGCGGGGCAGATGTTGGAGAAGGAGCTGGATATCTGTGGTATGTGTAATGAGGCGGGCCAGAATAAGATGGTGGGGGGTAACTGTATTGTAACGGCCCCAACTGAGGGGGTGCTGGTGGTGGACCGGGATATGGATAACTTGGAGTGACAGAATTGGAATTGTTGTAAGGTGGTGGATAATGGGAATATTGTGGATATGGATATGGACCTGGACCTGAAGCTGGGGAAGTAGGGAATGGAGCAGAATTGTGAGATGGGTATGGTTGTTTTGACGGTGGTGGCACGCGAGGGTAGCCATATGCGAGGTTATATGGGTATGGTGATGGAGATGAATGGTAAGTATTGTTATCCATTAATATACACAACAATTTCTTAACTTCTGATCCTTTTCAATATACACTCAAATCTCTATTTGAGCAAACGACCTCAAAAGATTGCAAAGGAACCGAAAGGGTCTCCTTCTTGAACCCAGAAAAGATCCATTACTCAATCGATTAGACAAATAATGAACAAGCAATTCTAATACAGGCGAAGGTAGAAGTCAAGAAAAGAACGCAGCTTCTTCTTTTTTTTTTTCCTTTTTTTTTTTTCAATAGAAAGCAATACAGAAAGATTAAATGGGGTTTTTGTTCATTTTTCGGATTATTGAAGAGTGCAAATCATATAATTTCCTCTTGAGCTTGAATTCAGAGAGTGGGATTGAAATAGAGTACCTTAATATTGTGAATGCCCTATAATAAATTCTGCGAACTTCTAAGCCCAAAAGGAGAAAATCAATATTATGAACAGACAGTTCTGCGATCAATTTATATAGTAACGCGTAATCACGATTCCCTCCTAGAAATTTCGATGAAGAAGAGAAATTAGCTGCCGGGTAAATCCCGGTTTCCAGATTGCACATGTTGCAATGTTTCAGAGATGCTTAGGTTGGACAGATTAGGCAGTCAGGTTTTAATCTGGCCTTTTGGTTACGTGGAGCTCTATAATTGGCTGCTATCAAATATTATATGGAGATTGCGTCATTAGTGGGATTTGGGACGAAATTTTTGTTGTCATATTTAAAGGGCATTTATGGAAACATAGCAATTTTTTAGGGTCAACTTGTGGAGATGTACCAAATAAGTTGGGTGAGTGATTCGGGTCGTAGTTTTAACCCATTTACCACTTAAATTGAATATTCATAAATATTTTACTTTTATCGTGTTGAACTTGTGTAAGAAATAGCGTCGAAAGATAACATTCTAAAAAAGGCGTAAAATGTTCAAATGTCATTTTAAAATAGTGATCGAAGTTTCTCCACAATAGGCATCTCGAATCTTCAAATTCGTAGAATGTTGCTTTTCAAACAAGTAAATGGTTTCTTACCAAGTTGTTGAGAGAGAGAGAAATCTATTGTTGACTTCTCTAACTCATTTTCTATTATGTGTTGCATGTCCGTTGAACTAATTCTGGCCTTCGAACACTTTACTTTCTCTAATGGACAGCCCACAACCCTTGAAAAAATTACTCAAGAGCTTTTCAATTTCTACTGTAATTTTGTTTATAATAAAATATTTATTTTTGTTACACAGTAATCATGGCTTGAAAATTGAAGTTGAATGAACGGATTTTTGAAATTCTGCAAATCGGATAGATATGAAATGTAACATTAGCTCATTTTCCAGAAGTGCATAAATTTTACTGTAATCTTGAAATATGCAGTAAATTCTGAAAATGGGATTATTTTGGAAATAAATATTCTGTCAAGATAGAGACAGACTATTGCCAGGTGACTGCAATAGGGCTCCTAACTGAATATTTTTGGGAAATCCATACTAAAGAGCCAAATGAGAAATTAGATGAAACAGTGCTTCCGCCTATTGAAATCAAACTCACTTTGTAGCTCAACTTCTCGCCGATTTTCTGAAAATTCATGACTTCTGGCTCAACAATGATGTTCACCCCTTTAGGCTCTGTTACATGCACAACATAACTACATGCAGGAGTCCCATCATTTGTGACTGTTCTCTTGTATGCTGCAGTAACATTTTGAGCATTAGTTTTGAAAACGACTGCAAATGAAGGGTAGTTTAAGTCACCAGGTTGAAGATCAGCAGAGTCGGGACAAGTGAAATTCTGCCCGGCGAATATGGCTATTTGTGTTGAGTTGTAGTTTAGGCTACACAAATAGTTTAGGTAATCATCGGTCGAAATGTCATAGATTAGGCCGGGATCAGAAGCAGTCTCTGGATCAACATGGCCGGAACCAAATGCAAAAGGGGTAGCTGAAGTTGAGTTTACAGAAGCAGCATCTGATATTGGAGCATTTTTGGAGTCACGAACATAAGCTGTTGTCATTAAGGCTGATTTTATTGCTGCCGGTGACCAATCCTTGTGAACAGACTTCAATAGTGCAGCTAGGCCACTAACATGGGGACAAGACATAGAAGTGCCAGAGATTATGTTAAATTGGACTCTTCTTTTGTCACTTTTGAGTTGTGTTGGACTAATATTTGGTGGCCATGCAGCTAAAATGTTCACACCTGGTGCAGTTACGTCTGGCTTGATTATGCTAGGTTCAACTACACTTGGACCCCGGGAGGAAAATGCAGCCATAACCGGCGCAGGATTTCCATATGCCGTCCCTAAAAACTCGATTGAAGCTGTCGCATTGTTTCTTAAGCTAGCGTAGTTTTTGCTGGCATTGGCTGCTAAAGCACCAAGAGATGTGGCTGGCAAGACGTGTGGATCAGCAAAAAGTTCATCTCCTTGATGGTCAGAGTTTGCTAATATCATGCCAGCTCCACCTGCCATTTTCACTATCTCTCCCTTTTGGAATCTGTCATTGATTCCTTGATCACAAATAACGATTTTACCGTGAACAAATCTTGGAGAGAGTGAGCCGCTGATGCAAAACTTGGCTACTCCACCACCGGCGGTTTCTCCATACACTAAAGGCAATTGCTTGGTAGCCTTGCCAGAATACAATGAGGCCCCTGTGAAACTTTGTCCATTGCCAAGTTTAACTCGAGTTGGAAAACTGCGGTCAAGATAACTAGCAGCAACCGTCATAATCCATGGCGCCACATTGGCAACGGTGGAATCAGAAGGCCCTGAATTGCCTGCTGAGCATGAAACAAAAACTCCATTTTGCATGGCACCAAATGAAGCAATGGCTATATTATCATTGTAATATGGTTTCGAAGCGCCTCCCAGAGAAAGTGACAGAACGTCCACCCCATCCTCGACTGCTTGTTCGATAGAAGCTAATAAATCCGAGCTGGCGCATCCTAATAGATAGCAAGCTTTATAAGCTGCAATTCTTGTTGTATACCTCATGCCAGCAGCTGAGCCTTTGGCCAACCCAAAAATGTTTGCACCCTTGACAAGATTACCTCCTGCAGTCGAAGAAGTATGCGTTCCATGCCCTTCTGAGTCCCGAGGCGATCTGTAATCTAATGTTTCATTAATTGTTCCAGCAATGGCCTCGTATCCTTTGAAAAATGCTCTTGCACCTATAAGCTTTCTGTTACAGTTTGAAGCTCTAAATTTTGTGCCTGCCTGACATTTTCCTTTCCAACGAGGGGGAACAGGAGATATGCCCGAGCTACGAAAACTAATGTGTTCGGGCCATATTCCCGTGTCAACAATGCCAATTATTATATCAGAAGCTAAATTTTGAGCATTCCACAGGCCACTACCTTGTTTAAGGCCAAGAAACTGAGGCGAATGTGTTGTATGAAGCTCTAGCATTTCATCCAAGGTGGCAGAGAGAAAGCCATCCGTTTTCCTCAAGGATTCGAGTTGTTGCTTTGAGAGCTTTGCAGCAAAACCAGAAATGACAGTTTCATATACGTAAAGTAGTTCAGGAGACAATGTTTGTGGGCCTTGCTCTACTTTGTTGTGAGCCGATGATTCAGTGAGAGATTCGATGATAGCTTCGTACCATCTTTTGGAAGTGCCAAGAGAGGCATCTAAAGCTTTGATCTTCGTCTTGTCCATGTGGACCACATATGTTTCTCTTTCTGCTACCGCATATGCACTCAAAGCCTTGAGAACCAGCAACAGCAGGAGCCCCCTTAATATCATTGTTGTTCCTGGAAAAAATTGAAAACTAAGTTAGTGGGAGAGAAAGTACAGACAGATAATGCAATGGCATGCTCCATTGCAAGTTTCTGAGACAACGGAGACTAGAAATTTTAAGCATTCAAATCACAGTTAATTTTAGCAATTATGTTTCATAAAACAAATTATACAGAAGAATGCTTTAAGCAGTGAGCTAAATAAAATGTGCGTGCAAATGGCTGTTAAAAGGATCCCACTGGGATAAGAGACAGCCTAGAACACCATGCAACAGAGACACTAAGGCGTGCACAAACACCGATACTGACACTGTGAGATAGAGATAGAGTGTCACCTTTGTTTTCGACAATAAGGGAATATCAAAGGAGGACCTGGGAATTAACATAGGAAAGGGTATCTTTTATAGGCAAAGCTAGGGGTGTACGCGGGCAGGGCAGGCCGACCTTTGCGGTCTTGGCACTATGACTAAAAGATTTGACAGCCTTTTTATATTTACTCATGTCACATTAAAGTAAGCTCTTGATTCAGATTTCCAGCAAAAATACAATTGTGGAAGTCGTCGCCTAAATGTCCCCAAGCACTCTATATCTTCCCATATATTTTGCTATTTAGTATTTTAAATATTTTTATCCTGATTTCTGTTTCGCACGGGTAATCGCTAACAATTAAAAAGGGATCAGACGATTGTTTAAGGAACAAACTTCTTGAGATAAAGTCCCAAAAAGAGGTGTTTTATTGACGATAATTTACAATTGGAAATAAATAGAATGCCTCAAAGGGGCGCAAGTACACGAGTACTAAAAGAAATGTTTAAGTTTAAACTAAGAAATCGAAATTACATATTCTCGGTTTGAGAGTGTTTGATTCGAGTTCTTTTTCTCTATATCTTCTCTTTCTTTTATATTCCCTTCATGATTTTTTCGTGACAAATCGCTTGGAAACTGCTTGATTGCTGTATAACTTCCCACTTTCTTTATGATGGCTAACTTGTCGTGGAACTGCCATCTCTAACTGTTGTATTAATCTTTGTCGTTCAACCGCCTTCAACTAGGCTCCTTGAATCGTGGAATGTGATAAGATCACTCAATAACTGCTTCAATAACTGTTATTCTGGATAACTTTAATGTTTTATACTCGCTAAGATCCTGGGCGATTTGAAAGTTTGGGCAAGAACGGGGTCATCGCTTTGGGCTACTACAGCTAAAGGTGCCTTAAGCCGCAAACAGCCAGTTTCAGCATCTCCCATTTTGCAGGATGATGATGATGATGACGCTTCTCTCTTCCTCAGAAGAAAGGTAATTGAATTGTTTATTCACAAACATACTTTTCTATGTACTAATGGTTTACCTGAATTTCTCACAAAAGTTCAGCCTCTCCTTCGAAGGCTTTGGTTTTGGCAGCTCCTGCTCCATCATCTTCTGCTGAAACTGCTTCGTCCAAATCAACTGATGAAGGGATTATACTTAAAGAGAAACCCTTAGTCCTGGAACCTTCATCACAACCAGTAGAAGGGTCACCTTCTTCCCAAGGCGCCGACCCCCCAACCGTCGAACCAGAAGGTAATACATATTTTGATATTTTACCTTTACTTGTGCTACTGATTTCTGATTCGTTACTTCTTGAATTATGTAGAGGCTCCCATGGGTTTGCCCGTTGTGGCAGAGTCTTCTCGCCCAAATAAGGGGAAGTCCCCATAGGTGATGGAGCCAACTAATGATATGCTTGAACTTCCTAAGATTGCTGATGAGGTAACATTTTGCTTCACTTTCATTTTCGCTTCGTTTATTGTAGTGAAAGTCCTCAATGTTGGCATTTTTCTTTGCANTCTTGAGATAAAGTCCCAAAAAGAGGTGTTTTATTGACG